ATATTTTGTTTAAAGGACAAAAGGCAATTTGAAGGCTTGTGTTTACCCCTCATTTTCTATAACATCACAAGTGAACAAATATATCACATGGTTGAAAGCTGCCAGAATAACAAGAACAAGAACAAGAACATGATGATCTGATAATACAGTATCTTTCAGCCCTGGGTCTCTTTTTGGATGAGGGTTAAATTAGACATGGCTACTTTAAATGTTCTATAAACTCATAAGATGAGGCAATATTTGCAATAAACGTATCAGAGAGATGATTGGAGAAACATTTCATGCTACATGTATTCAGAAACTATATAGAAAAATAGTGATTTTGCATTGTTTAACAGACAATTTTGGACTTGAACTTTAGCCATGAAAGTTTAGTGTGCTGTCCTGTAATTTATGGTAAGCCAAATCTACTTCACATAGCAGTGGTAAGGATAAAATGGGAAAAACTAGTTACAAATACCTTTGAATTCCATGAAAGACATATTTATTTCTGCATTTATCTCCCACCTTTTCTCTGGGTTCTTAAGGTAGTATGCATAGGAGCTCCCCCAATTTTATTTTGACAACAGCCCTGTGAGATAGATTGACCTGAGAGAATGCCTAGCCCAAACTTACCCAATGAGGTTTTGAGTTTGCATTGCCAGTCCAAGTTGACTGCTTAGTATACGTGATAAATGCACCCCAATATGGAAGGAAGGGGCACTGCCCAATGACTCCATAATTTTATACAATTGTTCTCATTAACAATGGTAGAAAATACTGAGATGGAAACTAGGATTTGAAGTACGCTTTCTGCATATTGTACAGTTTCTAAACTAACTGCAGCGAGTGGTATTTGTAAGTGATGCAAAGTAATTACATGTCAGTAATAAATTGTAGAAATTGCTGCATGAATATATGCCAGCAACTTTTGAGTCAGCTGCAAAATGGCCAAATTGATGTAAGAAAGGACTCAAACTGGTCAGAGCCTGTATGCCATGATTCAGAAGAGAATTTCATTCATAATATTTGACATGTTTTCTGTCTAAAACTGCTAGGGATCTTTTCTTTTCCTTCCTCATTTGAAAATATTATTTTGATTGTTCGCAAATAGTATATTAATATCCTGTTTTAGATAATGAAACTATTCATTATTTCAATAGTTTGTGTGTCTTCCAAAACATAAAGGCTAGATTAAGATGCATAGCAATTATATTCACATTTACTCAGAGGCAAGTTAAATTATTTTCAAAAGATTTTACCCCAAAGTCAACATGCAAAGGATTATAGCTTCCAAGAAGTTTATGGAAGAAAAATTTCTAATACTGACATCCCTTTACAATTCTTGCAGAGACATTTTAGAGGGTTGTATGTGGGAGAAGAGCACTTGAATAATGTGAAATTGATCTGGTGGGCTTTTGATGGAGGGAAAACTTTGTTCTAGGAACTTCTTAGAAGTATTATTTATTTTATTTCTAAATGTATTTAACATATTTATATGGCTGCCCATTTACTAAAGCACTCTAGGCAGTGAACAAATAAAAGCAACAGTCGCAATCCATAACATTAAAAATGTTATAAAAAAGAAATAGCCTTTGCAAATGAGGTCCCTAAAAACTCTTGCAACAATAACAACAGATAGCCTGCTCCCACAGCAAAGATCCATTAGCACCCTCAGCGCCT